GAAGCATTCCTTGAAATCAAGAAGCCAGATTTATTTAAATCTCATGCCAAATAATATTTGATGAAAACCTACAGTGACAAAACCAATTAAAAAATGTCAATACGTGGTATTTAGTCAAGAACATTTTCCTATTCTTCTTAAAATCAAAATTCAGAAATAGAACAATTCGGCGGTGTCTTTAATACGTAGCAATATAGCACAGTACCAACCATGAAATTTCAAACCCTATTCTTTTAATAAGACTACTTTTGCCAAATGTGCTTTCCTTGTAAGAGGGAGGTTGTTGTTATGTATCAATTGCACATTAGCTAATCTTTGATTAGCTGACCCAATTTACACATTCTACAAAAGCAAAATTCAATTATGGCAGGTTAAGCCAGCATTAGTGCTATCCTGTTGTGAATAATCATATTCAAAATGATTTAGCTTCTGGGACAGAAGTGCTTTCAACTTGACGATAAAAAGTGCTTATATCAGCCCTCTTAAAGCTCACCTCATTAAGTTCTTCTGGGCAAACACCGACCTACGTTAGCACCGGGAGTCATTCAGCGTATCTTTCATAAAAGCAGAACACCAATATTTAGAAAGACTAAAAACCTAATGGATAGGAAATAATGGTTCTGTAATTATATTAGCCTCTGATCCCCCAATGACCTGAAGATGATGGTGCTTTAAAATCGCTGGAAAAGTCCATTTGTTTTTACAGGCAGATTTACACTCCAAGTGCATTCAAAAGATAATGCAGTTCATCAGTAAATGATCTTGCAGATCAAGGATGTTAGCGAAATAAAACAATTCTACAATGTCATTTCGAAGGTTAAAATGTGATTTCTGTATCTGTAATAGCCAGAAGCTTTCCAAGATTATATTGTTCATAAAGTTTGCAATTAGGAGCCAAAAAAATTTATCTTTTCAGTTTTTTTACTTATCAATGTATAGGAAGACACTTTAAAGTCACATCTTTGGGCCTGTCAGCTTTCTCACAGGAATGTCCTAATTCAAAGAAAGTAAATATCAAGAGCATCCTCAAATGTATTAAAGGCAGAATCAATCTAGATAATTTACTGGTGGCGTTTGAAACATATGAGATTAAACGTCCGTAAATGCACCTTCTTGAGAAGGGTTCACTGCGTCAATTGCAAAGGACTCACAAAAAGTATTTTCCCTTTATCTAAGCAGCACAATAGCTATTAAAAAGCCACATGCCATGCCAGCAACTGCAGAATCACCGCTCACAGGTGCTCAAAATGCCAGTTTTGTACTATTTATGCCTGCATGCACACATTTATATGGCCATCTAATTCAAACTATGTGGGCAACATACAAAAGAGAGAAAAACAAACCGAAATGATTAGTATAAAATAACACAGCACATCAAAGCATACAAAGCAATAAAATGGGAAACAGAATGGAAAACTCACCCATTGGGGGACTCCACTTAACCTAACCCAAAGTCCCATTATGAATTGCTCTGTGCTGTCTCAGTCTTATGTGCTTGCCCTTACATGTCACCACCAGAGATGCAGACAAAGAATGCTTAATCCATGCTTCCTTCAGAACACGTGTCCTTCTCAATTGAAGCTACTAGCCTGAAATCCAGTTATACTATGTCACTAGGAATTCCGATGTTTCTTTCACTCCCAAAATACCCATCAAAATTCACATTTCGCTTGTGAGCAATAATTTTGCCTAGTATAGTATGGCCTCAAAACAAAAAACAACACCCATCCTAATATCAAGACTGTAAATTTGGCAAAGGAGGCTGAGATGTAACAACCAGCTCTGCAGATAATCAAATGCAGAAGTCACAATGCTGCCTCTGGTTAAGTGGGACATCTGTCCTCCCTACATTCAGATATATATGCTTGTTGTGAATTAGTAACCATTTTGATTAAAACTATTACCAGGGTATCTTGGAGGCTAATAACCTAGTCCTAGACATCTTTAGAAGTTTAAGAATGGGTGACCAAGTTTTGCTTCTTTTTCCTTTTTCATCCCAATCCTTTTTCCTGCTTTCCTCACATCTTTTCAAACTGCAAAATTAGAATACAGGATTTATATAGATTTTCTCTGAGAGCCTTTCCAGTTGAAGAGCGCAATACAAAAGCTTCATATAATAGCTAACATCCTTACACGCCCCATTTTTTCCCCCCGAGTGGACTTAGGTTTGAGTTAACACCATCTGAAACAGATTCATTGATCTTTAAATAGCCACTTCTCTTGCGCTCTACATGGGGCTGGCCCTGAAGAGTGTTCGAAGACTACAGCTGGTCCAGAACGCAGCAGCACGAGCGATATGGGGTGTATCCAGATACACCCATGTTACACCTATCCTCCGCGAGCTGCACTGGCTCCCCATTGGTCTCCGGAAGCGCTTCAAGTTGCTAGTCGTTACTTTTAAAGCCCTACATGGTTTAGGAGCTGGCTACCTGAGAGACCGCCTCCTGCGGCTTACCTCCCAACGACCAACAAGATCGCACAAGTACGGCCTCCTCCGGGTGCCGTCCACCGGACAATGCCAGCTGGCGCCTCCCCAGGGGAAGGCCTTCTCTGTTGCTGTGCCTGGCCTGTGAAACGATCTACCCGCAGAGATCCGGACCCTTACTCCTCTCCTGGCCTTCCGTAAAGCCATCAAGATCTGGCTGTTCCGGAAGGCCTGGGGCTGTTGATTGATATCCAGCCCCGCTTAGATGGAATGGATG